ATTAAGCACAGATTTAAGAAACAGTTATACAAAGTAGTAACTGGTTCAAAAGGGTAGATGTATTGCCAATTAACAAGGATAAAATCTAAATTTTCATATGGCTCTTTCTTTATCAAAACAGTCTCTAGAAGTATAGTCTTTATATGTCAAAACACCTGTAAGTTTTATTAGCTTATCCCTTGGATATTTGATATGTTTTATCCTGCATCATTTCTTAAAAAAAATAGAGAGAGAGAGATCCTGTTACATGTTTTATTACCCCCATATAAATTTTTTTGGGGGCTCTTAATTCCTTTGGGAATTCTGATCATTCAAAAGAAACTCTTTACAAGGATGACTTTTTTTTTTTTGCTGTAAATACAATATAGTCTGAGTAGTTCACTCTGAATGCTATTTTAGTGGAATGACCACTAAAATCAGAGCGTTCTCGTTTGATTTATCTCCTTTTATCCTTTAATAAAGGACAAAAAGTGGAAGTAGTGAATCATAGAATGACAGTTTCTAAGCAGAGTGTGTGAAATACTACTTTAATCAATGAATAATATACAACAACCACTCAGTATTCATTTTATTTGTGCCTCCGGCACCGGTGCTTTTGTGGCTGCTCAGACTGTTTGCTGTCATATTTTTAGAGTGAAGCTGTAATGTGACTCAGCAAGGAAAGTGTGTGTAATCAGAAGTGTTGCCAAATATGAATTATACTTTTGTCACTGATACTGAGCAAGTTATAAACTCTTGTCCTTTTTTCCAGGTGATAAATAATGCTTGTGCTACTCAAGCCATAGTAAGTGTGTTGTTAAATTGCGCTCATCAGGATATCCGTCTGGGAGAGACTTTGTCAGAATTTAAAGAATTTTCACAGAGTTTTGATGCTGCGGTAAGTACCCACTACTTCTGTATTTTAAATAATAGGGCTTTTTATATGTAGGCTTACCATTCAATTTTGTTACTCAATTTCAGATGAAAGGCTTGGCACTAAGCAACTCCGAAGTGATTCGACAAGTTCACAACAGCTTTGCCAGGTAGCAGGTGTTTTACATGTTTTCCAGCTAGGAAGAATTCATGCAAATTCCCTTTCATCTGATTTATTGATTTATTTATTTTTACATGTTCTTTGCAGACAGCAGATGTTTGAATTTGATGCAAAGTCTTCAGCAAAAGAAGAAGATGCATTTCACTTTGTAAGCTATGTTCCTGTTAATGGACGGCTGTATGAGCTGGATGGATTAAGGGAAGGACCAATTGATTTAGGTAGCATTTTGTTTTATTGTTAAAACAAAGGATTTTCAGAACTTGCTGAAACAAGTTGGTTATGTGTTGTTTAAAGAATTACTTACAGGTTTCCTAATATTCAATTAAGGCACATACTACTTTGCAGCAATTTATATTGTATTTTTGTTGATCAGAAGATCCATTTTTCCTCCTGCTTTCTCTTCCTGTGTAAGATAATAGGTTGTTCTGTGCAGTGTCTCTTCAAACAAGCAAACACAACTGTTAGAACTATGTAATGCTTTTGTCTTTCCTTACTGGTAGTATGCAGTCCCTTTTGCTAGAATTTTTCTGCAACGTTATTTTTTGTGGTACTGTCACCCAAGGTAACAATTCCCATGTCATGTTTTCAAGGATGTTTTTTTTTTTTTCCCCAGGCTGTAGCCTGTCCTTTTATTTTGTGAGAGTTTGTGTATAGCTGTATATGGGTGACCCCATACACATCTGACACTTACACAGTGCCCTTGTTTCCCCATGCATAGCAAATAATTTCCGAATGATATTAAAGTATAGCTAGTTTTAGCTTAATTTTGCTCTGTTAGAGTTCCTATTTCATATTTTGTGATCTTGCTTAGCTTTGTGGTATGTGTAACATCTTGCATCTTCAAAAGCTCTATGATACCAATTGTGTTTTTGCACTTCCTTTAGTGTCTTCTCACTATATCTCACAGTATTCCATACTCTGTCTCCAATATCTTTTCTCACTGTACTTGTATGGGAACCATTGAGTCATGGCCTGGAGTGATATTTTTTTAATTTGGTTTTTTTTTTTCCTAGGTTCATGCAATCAAGATGACTGGATAAGTGCTGTGAGGCCTGTCATAGAGAAACGAATACAAAAGTAAATGATTGTGATGCTTTTAAAATAGAACTCATTATATAGATACATGTAAAAAGAAAGAAAACAATTCTTTATTCTTGATTTCCTTTGATTAAAGGCTTTCAACTGAATTTCTAAGGAATGAAGCTTGTGCATCCCTTTATGTGTGTATCAGTGTGTGACTTCAGAACTTATTGCCCAGCATGAGCCAAATATGATGAATAATTAAGTCTCAAATATGCTGTGCTCCAGTGTGGTTAGTCAAAGTAGGTATCTGTAGTGAAGGGAGATGCTGCTAGTACTTTGAAAAAGAGCAAGATTTAATGTGTTAGATGACTGTGGGTCTTTGCAAGTGAAAACTCACGTTCGTTACCATTGATAATGTTTGGGGGTGCACTTATAATTGAAAACACCAGCTAATAAATGCATCCGTATAGCTGGTATTTATAGAAAATTAACCTTAGGCACGTGGCTTGGTGTGGAAATTTCATCTAGAAGAATTCATCTGGAATTTCTTCAGCTTCACAGCTTACTCCAAGGTGCAGCAGCACTGAAGTTGTTAGAGTCTATTTTATGCCATTTTTAGAAAGTAACTTTTGAAGTCTTCTACTTTAAGTCTTTCATTTGATACACCAAACCTAATGTCGAATCACATTTTCAGGATTTATGCTCTTAAAGGGCTGCTAATTTTACTGCTGAATGTATTTTTCACATCATGTAAGTCTCCAACACTTTATAGCCAGTAACAATACTGAGAAAGTACAAATATTGCATGCAGTATTCTTGTGCAGTTTTTCTTGTCAGCCATGCCCTTTGGGTTTTGTTCTCATGGTGTTTTTTTGTTGTTATTTGCCTCCTCTTTCTCCTTTGGAATATAGCTTCAAATACTTATTTTTTGTGATAGCATACAGGAATAGTAGTATCTTGGGAGAACAGATTATTAGGAGTTGCAGTTTGGAAAGTGCTAATCTGAGATTTTTATTTCATGGCAGAATTGGATCTGTAGCACAACAACTTGATTTAATACGACTCTGTGTTCCCCTGATGCTCCAAAAATGTATTCCCTTACAGTGGAAGGAAATCCTGAAGAAGACTTTTGAGTTTTCGTGTAAAACACTGATTTTGAAAACTTTTCTTTTTCCTTTTTGTTCCTCTTACAGATACAGTGAAGGTGAGATAAGGTTTAATTTGATGGCTATTGTATCTGACAGAAAGATGATATATGAACAGAGAATTGCAGAATTACAGCGACAACTTGCAGAGGTAAATCACAATGTTTAAATCACTGGATTAGATCTGTGATAACAGTTCCATGTCTTTATTATTCACCACCTTTGTCGACTAAAAGGAGGAAGGAAGGATGATTACATCTGTCTAGTGCAGTGCCACGTGGAGATACATGTTGTAGATCTATTTATCTTTCTGAGCACTGAGTACAGGGTAGCCACATCATTGTGTCTGTCTGTCCTGGCTAATATACTGTTGCAATGGAACTATATTTTTCCAAATAATAAAGCTAATCCACATAAAATCAACTGCAGAAATTTCATAAATAAGCAAAATTGATTTTCTTTTGCTGTAATTGGAATATTCAAACAGCAATTTTTTTCTTTATTTCTGTTTTGTGGAAGGAGGAACCTATGGATACAGATCAAAGCAGTAACATGTTAAGTTCTATACAGTCAGAAGTTGCAAAATATCAGATGTTAATCGAAGAAGAGAACCAAAAACTAAAAAGATACAAGGTAAGTTGCCTCTGCTTTTTTGATCCAAATATGGGAAACATGGCAAGGAAAAGCCAGCTGTTGTGTTTATGGTTGGCTGTTGAAATTAATCTGTAGGAATTTGGGTATTAGAAATGTAACTTGTTACAGTTTGTTATGTAGGTTCCCATGCCATTCCTGAATTTCATGTGAAATTTCATGTGTTAATCTTATTTTTCTGCTGAGCTTTTATACGAGTTTTTCTAGCTATCGCTGTCATTAACGTTAATTATTTATTAAGCCAAGTCAGGAAGTCTTTGGACTAATTTGACACATAGATATTGTATTCAGTGAAGAAGCTCTCCTAGGGTATTTTGTTTTTTTGTTACAGTTTAGCTGCTATCTTTTTCTTAAGCAGATAACAGTGTGAGAACAACTGATGTGTTGTTCATTACCTTAAATAAGTATTTTATTCAAGTGCACTGAAAGCACGTCATCCTTTAAGAGGGCGTATTACATTAATGAAAATTAGATATGAGAAAGCTTCTCTGAAATCACCCCTTGTAACTTTTTGATGATTCTTTAATAATTCTCAAGGAATGTTTTGAGAAGAAATAAAATTTAGAAGCTGGATAACCAATTTTTTTTCCCTTTTTTAGTAAATGATAGTGTCGTATTTATCTCTACTGTACTTGTGCTAATTTTCTTGTCAGCGTTGTAAAGTGTTGTGGCTACCTATTCTGGAGTAGTGTCACTACATTATGCTCCATAGCATCAAGAAACTATACTGAAGTAATCAAAAACATTTGCATTTCATGAAGCATGAGAATAGGCCAAAAAAAATGAAATAGGGAGTCCAAAAAATGCTTAAACTTCCTAACTGTATTTTGAAATACTATGGAAACAATGTAGAAGTCAATTTTTTTTTTCAAGTTATCCACTTGAGATCCTTAAGGAGAGTTTGTGCATTATACACTAAGTTCATTTGACCTTTATTTTTTCACTATGTGCTCAAAAATTTGACTTGAACTTTATTTTGAACTGGCTAAAACGTAATAAAAAAAAACTCCAGTGGAGTCTTCAGAAGAAAAGAGAAAATCCACTTTTAGTGATAGAACAATTTTGTTAATATTCTGAATTTATCTTTAGATTGAAAACATTAGAAGAAAACATAACTACCTGCCTTTCATCATGGAATTATTAAAGACTCTAGCAGAACATCAACAGTTAATACCATTAGTAGAAAAAGTGAGTATTTCTTAACTTATCACTATAACTTTTCATACATTCTACTTGAAAATGCAGTCTACTATACAGGCATGAATTTTTTTAAATTAGAATTGGTTTGGCTGGATGGGGCTTTGAGCAACCTAGTCTGGTGGAAGGCATTCCTGCCTATAGCAGGGAGTTGGAACTAGATGATCTTAAAGGTACTTCCCAACCTAAATTATTCTGTGGTCTGGACAAACCCTACTTAAATGCCTGTAAGTACAAGACTTCCTTTTGCCAACCTGGGATCTGTTAAGACTGTTCTATTGATGTATTTAAATATCAACACTAGGTGGCAACCTGTGCACAAAGTTCTGGTAATTTAGAGGCTTGAAATTTTCTCTTCATTGTCCTGATGTAGATTCACTGCTTCAATTGCTCTCTCCTTTGTACAGTATGTAGGTATTAATGTTGATTTGCTATTAGGATTTAAGTGTGTTCACTGAAGCTTGTATGTCACCTTGGCAAGGTTATTAAACATATGTAGAAATATGGCTGTTTAACTACTTGGCTTGAATTATAATGAGATTGTAGTACCAGCTTGCTTATGTGCTTTTGCAGTAGATAATATTCCTAATTTTGAACTCTAATTGAAGAAGGTCTGAATGTCACTGTGTTGGGGGGGAAAAATGCTAAATACAAAGGCTTCTCTGAGAATAATGCCTCCTGTTTTATTATGTTGGCCCATAACATCAGAGGCAGATTTGGTGGCATGGCAGTACAGGCAAAGCCTTCTTGCCAATATCCCATTACGTGTTGTTGCCACATGACAGATGACAGCAGAGGGGCAGTCTCACAGAATGATGTCTGACATGGAAGCGTGTATGAAGCAAAGGTGTGTCATAGAATCCCTCCAGGCAGAAAATATTGCACCCATTGACATTCACCAATGCTATTGAACGCTTATGGAGACCAAACAGTGGATATGAGCACAGTGAGGCAGTGGGTGGAATGTTTCAGTAGTGGCGACAGCAGGTCACCTTTGCTGGTACAGACTTTTACAGGCTCTAATAAAAATTCATAGCTAATGGTGGTGGCTGTATTGAAAAAGAGCATTTTTATAGCTGAGAATTTGCCCCATCACAATAACATTATTGTGATCTTTGTATCTGTTGTGGCTTTCGTGGAAGTAAATAGGAGGGGTTACATTCAGAACAACCTGTGCATAATGTGATGTGTACATTCATTTAGTTGAGTTTTGAGGAGTACTTTTGTAGACTAGTAGTTTACTATAACATAGTAACTGTGTGTTTTAAGTTGTTTATTCTGTGTGTTATATTCCTTATCAATTCATAGAATCATAGAATCACTCAAGTTGGAACCTGGAAACAGGTTATAAATCTGCAAAAATCTTGCTGGGAACTATTCTTTTTTCTACCCTATTTATGAAATAGTAGTAAAACTACAGTAGAATACTTACAAAGCATCTGAGTTTACATGTAATGTGTTTCCTTCTGCAGTGTTCTGTGTAGAAGGCTCAATGTTATGAGCAGTCAGTCGAACGTACAAAAGATAGATCTTGGTATCATCAGAGTTTAACAGTATATCCCTTTGCTTTCTAGGCTAAAGAAAAACAGAACGCCAAGAAAGTTCAGGAGGCCAAGTGAAGATGACCTTGCAAAATACATACAACTATGTGCTTCTGAAACTATTTTCTTGACAACAAATAAAACTTTTCATAAATGTTAAATTTTGTCCATCGCACGTTTGACAATTGTAACAGTTTGTCTTATGCTGTATGCACGGGTCTAGTTTTTTTTCCTTCTCTTGCATCTTGTGCATGTAGTACTACTAAGTAATATTTAGGTTCTATTGGTCAAATTCCTTATTTAAGTCTGATTTCTGAATGTTTGGAAAGTGGGCTTAAACATGTGCAAGGAAAATGTACCCGTTTTGTCCCACGTGAGTATATGGTAATGATGCAAATGCCAGAATTTAAGTCTCAGCATGAGCTTTCTTTGCTCATCCCTACTAACAGTTGTTCTGAGCTCATCCTCGTTATCCAGTTATTCAGTGACATGCCCTTTGTCTTTGTTTTTTGAAGTCCACGTCTGATTTTTTACAAAGTTGAAAACTACAAATCTAGCAGTAGAAACATTTGCAAAGACCAATGTATAATCTCAGATCTGCATTGCTTTAGTAGAAAAGATAATAAATATTCCCATTTTTATTTTGGCAAACTTTCTTCCTGTGGTATCTTTGTTGTTGGATACGATAACTTAAGATGTATTGAAGGTTGTCAACCTCGTGACTGAGTATCTGCACTGCAACTTTTTTTGCTGTTGTTTTGGGTGTTAGTATTGGATATAATCTAGTATTCTTGTATGTTATTTCTTTAAAACAGTACTTTTTAATTGACCGTAGGAGGTAAAAGGAAATTTAATTGTCAAAGAAAACGTTACAGTGTAAGAAAAAACACGTTAAGAAGGTTCTTGTTCATAACATTGCAGTGAAAGGTACTTGACCTGTCTTCCATGGACCAAAGGGAGTGCAAAAGCTCCTACTTTCTTAGCACTACTCAGTTTCTACTAAGGGCAGGCAAGCTGTTTTGGTAAAGATAGCAACAGGTTGTTGCAACAATGCATAAGTCTGAAATTACTTAAGCAAAATTGGTGTAAAGTGTGTGTAAAGTCTTTTGGGAAACTTCCAGTGTTCTTCCAAAGGGCTTGAACAAGAAATAGGGAAAAATAAGTAAAAGACCTCAGGCTGTTTGGAAGACACTTAAAACCAGTGAAAGGCATTAATTTTGATTTATCTAAAGTTATACTTCATTGAACTGTGAGCTCATTTGATCTTGTATGAGAGTGTTCTCTAGAGAATTTCTGGAAAGCCCCATACAAAACAGATTCTCTTATCTGTTGGTGCTTCGTATATATTGGCAGAATAAAATTTTGATAGAAGTAAAGCAAACTGCATTCTCCTACTGCTGAAGGGATCCTCTTGAGACTTTGCGGTGGCTGGGAAGATGCAATGTGTTTCAGGAAAAAAAAAAAAGGATGTGGGATCCATGTCTGTACAAAACTTCAATCAGGTAAGTCATAGATGAGAATAGCAGAGTACAAATATTCTCCACTTCAGTATTTAATTGACAGTATTGCTAGGGGAAGGAAATTACTTTCTTTGCACAAGCTGTTTTTTTACGTGGTAGTCTGAGTGCTGTTCCATGACATTCTCTGATACTTGCTAAAACACAATATTGCTATTCCTTAATGGATATCAATTTAAAGTCTAGTCATTCAAGTCACTCCGTTTGCCTTTTCTGTTTCCTTGTGTATATGAGGAAGGAGGATTTAGTTTTTTAATAATCTAGTTTTTATTGCAGCCAAGCTTTGTAATTTAGTTGAATAAAACATGGTGTGTATTGAGTAGACCAACTTTTGTCCAGCGAGTGAAAAATGGTTTTGCTTTTTTTAATGAACAAAAAAGCCATTTAATGCAGAAGCAAAGCAACTGAAAACCTAGTGGTCTTTGAACTACAGAATTGTTTTGTTTTTCTTGCTCTAAGCTGATATGATAACCTCAGACAATTTTTGCCACATTTGTAAAACCACCTTTCATAATATACGTCTTGGATTTAAGGGTAATTATTTGTCTGCAGCTTGTTTTTAGAATAGCAGGGATGTAAAGCTGCGTATAAACTTGATAAATTGACAAAGTGTTGAGGGAGTGAAACAGAATTTTTGGCTTCGTTCTACCTTACCGTATTAAGATGTGTATTGCTGATAGAGTGGGTCAAGGTTTGGGCTTTGATAAATTTCAAAGCCTGTGCATTTTTCTAGGATAAACACACAGTGGGGAGTCAAAACTGAAATGTGACCACAGTGGTAGTGAACACCAAGTTCGATTTCTGTGAAGAATTCTGCTTTACCATTATGTTGTTGTCCTTCAAAAGAGGTCAGCAGTCTCCTTCTTGCTAAGATTATAATAACCCACTGTCAGATTTCAGTGTGATCTCGCCGTGCTGTGCTCTGGCTGCCAGTGCTAAATTTAATAATGTGGAATATTTGTTAATATCCTGATTTAGGTTTGTCTTTAATCTTCAACTTCCATTCTCCTCCACTGACATTCTAGCGAGTGACATGGTGCAGTGATAAACTGCAGTGGGAGATATTTGTTAGCTAAGCTAATGAAAGTGGTAAAATAATTGAAGTTATAATTTAAAATGATACTTAATAAAGTAAGTACTGAAAATCAAACGCCACTAACATCACACCCTGGCGATCCATGTAGCAGAAGCCCTATAGCCTTTCATTCAGCAGCAAAGAACATTGCATTGCCCTGAGATGTTTGGGATCTTCTAATCCTTATTAAGATGTTCAGTTACTGCTGTATTCTAAAAGTAACTGTATTGAGCTAACCCATCAACCAGACCTGAATCATTCCTTCAAAATCCTGTTGTATTCACTATGAAGTCAGACATGCCAATGTACTGCAGTGCTCAGTTATTGCTTTAGGGAAAACGATTATTCCCACTGCATTATTCCAAATAAAATTTATTTTGGTTATAGGAAGATGAAGTGTTTAAGTTACCCCCTAGCAAAAGCAAAGTATTATAGGATGGGTTGGTTCCAGGTGGTTGTGGTACAGGTGAAGGGAGAGAAAAAGAACCAAAAAAACACAAGCAGATGTATACAAGCCTAGTGTGTTTATGTGGTTAGAACGGGTGTCAATGCATGCCTGATTGCCACATCTAAAATGCTGACAAATTATTCTTAGCTGACACCTTCATCTAGTAATACAAATGAGCTTATCTAACTTTTCTTTAAACTTCATGGCATCCTGTTTAATTAAAGGATATTGCAGAGAAAATGGTAATGCCACCCGTACATATACATTGGTATATCAGCTTCTTAAAGCAAGTAGCAGATTGATTCATTCTGCAGCTGCTGTGGAGGCAGACAGTGTGGCATGTGGGGTCTCTGGGTGCTCTGGTATGGTTATTTGAAAGTCACCTGTGAAGGCAGGAGCTTTTTGGGAAATGACTGCTTAAACACTTTCATCTCCTCGAAGTGCTACGTGTAACTTAAGCCTACTGTTGTAGGAGGCAAATTTGTCTTTATTTCTGGAGAGCTGCATTGAAGAACTGTCTGTTTCATACACACATAAGTAAAATACTTTATTGCTGCTGCTTCTTTCAGTCTGTTCCTGCAGAAAGCTTTCCTTCTTTCTTTTACAGCATGTATGTTACCTTGAGGAGTGACGCTGAACATAATACTGAAGTATGCTGTGTGTTCTGTTAACAGTGGATTGATTTATTTTCCATGAATCAAGAACAAGGAGTCCTTACAAGATTTCTGGTGTTGTACTCATGAACGAATGAACACGAGGTAAAATCATGTTTTATTTAATTTCTTTTAGTGGTAATTCCAAAGATCTCACCTTGGGCCAGTAGCAAGGCTTTGAGAGTTGCGTAAATGGAGAACATAAGTGGAAGGCTTTGTAAATGCTTAGGAAGAAGTGAATAGAGAGGAGGTATGTGTGTATGTATGTATTTAAATCACGTGGGACCAACCTATGTAATTCTTTATCCCTAAGTAGCTTTCTCTGTTGTATCTAATAACTGCAAGTATTGAAGTAAAACAGTTCAACCATGGAGTCTTTTTGTCTGCTCCAGATGGTCTCACTTCCCTCTATTAATAACATCGAATAGAGTTTATTATACTGAAGGCACTTTGCAAGTTTACAGTTGAATGTTTTGCAACGATAGGCAAGTATTTTCCATATTTTGTGCAGTGTTTACACTTTATTTACATCCGTTGACTTTTTTTAACTCTACAAATAGCGACTTGCTAGGACACATCTCTAATAGTAGCTAAGTAATCCTCTACAGCTTTATCAGTATCTGATATGTACAGTTCAGTGAATGAAAAATAGCGTGCGCTTAAACAAATTAATTTCTGTAATGCTATTGATGGCAGTGTGGTACCGAGTTAATTGCTGTATCCTGATTTAAACAAGAAAACATGAAGTACGTGCAGGATATTTCTCATAAGAACAAGATTATCTTATTTGGACATCCAAAAGCTCCTCTTATTGGAAACACTTCCTGCAAGCACACGCAGAAGTGTGTCACTTTCTTCACAGCAATCATCCAGAAATGCTTTTATAATAAAAAGTCAGATAACCCTGTCCTTACTGGACAATGCAAAGTAGGTAAGAGCAAGCAGTTTGATATTTGCTGTCTCCTATCCTTATAAAGCTATTGTTCAGCTCTTGTGCTGTTAATGCTGATGGAAAAGCAAAGAGCAAATCCTGAGTGAAAATGCATGTTCATTATGCTGCCATAGTATTAATAGTGCCTTTATGAACAGCTGGGATGCATCTGACTTGGCTCATTGCAGTTAAGTAGAATCACAGCTTAGAAGTTTTCCTTTGCAATAGGAAAAACTGTTTTCCAAGAGTGGGAGAAAATGAGCTTTTTATTGCATCCTTCTCTTTTTCATTCCAATTACTGGTTGGTAACACATTTGATTGTTTCACAATTCCTCAGAAATGTATAGAGCATTTCAGGAAGTTTCATGCAAGTATTTACTTAGCACTGCCACATTTAGACTTCTAAGAAGTGTTCTAAACATGATTAGTGTTTCCTAGATTACTGCTGAAAGTGCAGTTTGCTTTTAGAGGGGAAAAAAGGAAGACTTAGAGCTGAAGCTTCAATTTCTTTCATTTTTCTCCCTGCTCCACTGTGTAAATGTCATCCTGACCCCAGCCCTATACCACACTTACTGGAGAGCAGGGAGCTGCTGCCCAGAGTGATGAGGCACCAGGTCTGTGTTCTTAGGGACTGTATACATCTGTGAGATACTCCCAGAAAGCTGTAGCCAGTTGGGCAGTGACTTTAATCCTGGCAGTGGTCTGGTGATGGAGGGAGAAGAGGAATGGAGGTGGTTAGAATAGCCCTAGGAGTGACAGAGTCATTTATGTTCACATATCTCTCTAACTTTCTGGAAAGAAGAGAGTGGGTGAGATATAGTAGGAGGTACACTTGCTTGATTACGTGAAGAAAAGCCTAGATGTTGATAAAATGTTGCTACATGGAAATGAGACAGACATTACTGTCCCACTCGACAGGAACTGATAGAGACTGTTACTTAACGTTGTCTGTGTGCTACTGAGAGAGCTTCTACTTGCTTGCCTTCTGCGATAGAGGGTCCCTCTATCTTGCTTTGGGGGATATCCCACACTGTGCTGAGGAATGAACAGCAAAGGTGCTCAGGAATGTCACAGATACCTGAAACTCATCTGTGTGTCTCTGTACAGTTCTGCTTGTACCGTGGAAGCCCACTATAGGAAGAATGTCTGTGCAGCTCCTTCTGCCATCTCATCTGGTTTAATAAACTGATGAAAGGAAACAAACCCAACACGTGAATGCAGTAACTTTGGTACTCCAGGTTCTTTGCATTGCTGCAAGCAGGCTGACCATACTGTGTGTGTAGCCATACAGACTTGGGGTTAGTCCTCCTTAATAGTGTTCTTCAGCTAACAGGTGGCAGTTACTAATGGATCTGTGCTTTTCCTTACTGTCTTTTAAACATCTCCCCCCCTTGTTTCAGGCGTTATATATTTACTTTAAATCCTGAAATGGTCAGTGTGCTTACAATTCATACTTTAAGAACTTCTTTTACATGAACTACTGCTACTAACTTTGATTCCATTTAAGACAATTAGTTAGCAGTTATGCCTTGAAGTGTGAGTTACTTACTAGTCCAAGGAGAAAATAAATACATGCTCATTCAGTGATGTGTGTGGGAGCTTAGGTGCTGCTACATGAAAAGAGAAATTCCTTTTTTTTTTTTTTTTGGAAAATGAAATTGTTCTTCATATCATTTCTCCTTCGTGGAAGCAGCTGATACACCAGTGGTCAATATGCCAGAACCGGAATAGATACATAGGCTGCAAA